ACGTGACATTCATGTAGTTGATGACAAATAACCTCGTTTGTTACATTATGATTTCTTATATTACTGCGTTAAAACGCTTCATTGAAATGATTTTTATGTCAATAATTGCTTTTTTTTTCAATATTTTTCTTATTACTAATTTACATATTATTACAAGCTTGAAATGTACGTTACCTACTAATATTCTGAGGCAATCGTGTCTTTATAGTGGTGATTGTGACATATAACACAATGTGATTACATAGAGAATCTGTTTTGGAATAAACTGAAACAAAACGATGAATTTTTAGATGAATTTTATGCTTTTTATTAAACAGAAATATATCTTGAAATGTACGTTATATTTACGTAGTTTTCTAAATCGGCATGGATAAAGGTTAAAAAAGACAGTAACTACAAAATAGAATTTTACTACATGTACATGTTAAGTTCCAGTATCTATAGAAAATAAAAAGATTCCAAACTGATCGCTCTAAACAAAACAGAGAGAAGAATTAAAGCATATATTTAAAAAAATGTTTTTATACATCTGGATCAAAAAGTAACCTTTGTTTTTTTAAAGGAAAAATCAAACGCACGTTCGTATGCCGAGAAAATATGTTGCTGACAGAGTTGGTAGGATGTGCTGGTGTTAAGATGAGATATTCCAATTGTGATTTAATGACTACATTTTTTTTGGACATATTTTTTTGGACATTGAAGAAAGAGTAACGTACATTTCAAGCTACATTTCTGAATAAAATCACCCTCTACTTTACCGTCTTGTCATTATTCCACGTATTAAAATTTGATGAAAAAAAATCTGGAAACAAAATCTTCACATACTTTCTTTCAAATGTAATTGATAGAAAAATTGTTATCTTGAACTTCATTTTTTTAAAAATCAGAGAGGCATTTGTGCCCTTATATTGAGAATGGGTGTACAGTGTTTTGTATTCCTATTATCTGTTTAAAAATAACAAGCTTAGTAAAACAAATCTTAACATTTTATATACTTACAATAGTACATGAGATATATTTCACACGCTGAATCATCACGAAGACAATAATATTTCAAATCAAAATTCCCATCTTCTACAGAAAACACACATGTACTGATTCAAATCTTGGTTGTTGTAATACGCAAGTTTCGAGATTATCTCCCTTGGTGCGCTCTTTCGATGGGGAGGGGAGTTTCGTTGCCGCGTAAACAAACAGGTGGGACAAATGTTTGATATTGGATACATTGTATCATCGATATACTGGTTTATCATAACTACATGATTGTCGGGATGCACTCTACATTTCGAGAATAACCGAATTAATTTAAAGACCTCATTTTTTAAAGCAAAAAAATCGTAACAAAAAAGAAAATGTCGGTTGATGTGAGACTTTTCAGACGAGGGAAGCTATTTGGACCTCTAATAAAAACGGTACACATGCATCTGAACATTGTACGTAGGCGATCTAAATGACACATTGATTCTCTTCCTTATTACAACTTCAAAAAACCCACAAACTTTTTGTTTGTACAATCAAGAAAATCAGTTACTTTTTATTAAGACTATGACGTTTATTTCGTTTTCAAGTACCTATAATTTAAAGTAAATTTGTAAATATGCATAGTTGAACTTGATAAAATCATCAAATGCATCACAGCTTAATATCATTATCTTTTTATAACATTTAATAAAGTTTAAAAGCCATAAATATTGTTCATTTATTTATGAATACAGAATGTATGTATACAGAAACAGCCTGTCCTACCTCCATGCTGAAATGGATACTTTTTGCGCCTCTATCACAGGAGAGTTACAATCTCGAAACTGGCGTATTATGGTATAACAAACCCGATCTGTGATAATGTAATTTTGAACCCAACATAAATGTAGCGTGGGAGAAATTTTCTAACAAGTCGGAGTGTTCAACTAGTGGTCAACTCTTGTTTTGCATGAAATTTCAAAGTATTAACATTCAACTAATGGTCAACTGGCCGTTTTATGCAAATCAGTTGATCGCTTTTCAGAAAAGCATTCAACTCCGAGTGGTCAACTGTTTTCGCATTATCAGTTGACGAGTAGTTGACGGTCAACTATACATTTTCGTATGGGTACCCGTGTGGCGCACTAGTTAAAGCCTCTACTGTAGAGTTGCGATGTGAGAGATGAACCTTTCGTTGCGGGTTCGATTCCCATTCCCATTCGATTCCCACTGTGGGACGTGGAGAACGGTCCATCGGTTGACACCATATAAACTGAGGTCTTGTGTCGCAGTAGGTTCATGCTGGCACGAAAATAATCCGTCAATGCTCAATGGCCCTGAGTGCCGAGCATAAGACAACAATTTACAGCTCCCCACCGGCAAGAGTCGTCTCCATATGAGTTAAAAATTATCGAGAGGGACGTTAAACAATTAATTATAGTGGGATTTGAACCCGCGACGTCAGGATCAACTCCTGCGACTCTATAGCAGACGCTCTAACCACCGGGCGACTGGAACAGGAGATGGACAGATACTGACTGGATATAACTGGGCTACAGCTTAAAAAACTACACTGCAAAGTGGAAAACTTGTTCTTTACGTAGGAAGAAGAGGATGGATTACATTAAGAAGTAGAATAGTGCTGACACAGAAAACTAAGACGTAATTGAATGAATGGACACCCGTAAATGAAAGATTGAAGTGCGCAAGATTATGTACATCAAATATAAAAATAAGCCTGATTATGGTATGCTCGACGAACAAAGCTCCGAGTAAATATAGGAAGCATTCATATAACAATTACAAGAAGTCATTAAAATCATACAAAAACATGACATATTGCTCATTATTGGAGATTTCAATGCAAAGTTTGGCAGCAATAACAAAGGCCATTAGAGACAATAAACCAAGACACAATATTCCATGGAGCAACAAAGGCATTAGAGGCCATAAACCAAGACACAATACTAGTATTCCATGGATCTGATGGATAAACCTAAGAACAAACTGTTCATATGCTTATATCAAAACAACATAGAATAGCCATCTAAGATACAAGAGCATGACTGGAGCTGATACAAGCGGTGATTAATAAACTGAAAATGAGTAAGATCAGAATAAAATTGAAGAAACGAGAGCAAGATGCAGACACACGTAGAAAGAAATGCGATGTCACAAAACTTTCTCTGCTAGAGAAAAATATATTCCAAGTGCTAGAATTGCTTCTGAAAACGGGACCTAGGTTTATACGGTCTCATCCGAAGGACCGGTCTCCACATCCCACAGTGGGAGGAAAATGTTGAAGAAATCTGGGAAAGTATGATAAAAGATTTCAAGACAGCAGACAGTACACTTGGAGTAAAAGAAAAGAGACAAAAACCTTGGATAAACATATATTCTTGGACGGTGGTAGAAGAAAGGAAGCAGTTAAAAATCAGACTTCGCTACCAACAGCAGGTCAGAAATGTTAAATACATTGTAGAAGCTTAAGAAACAACTTTACATCAAAGACAGAGAGGTACATGTAAAACGCAGCATGAGGAATCCATGACAGGATAATGTGGACAGAAGATGATTACGGGAGCAGTTAAGCAGTCATTTATTGGCATATGAAAATTGTATGAGATAACTAGAGTGCAAAGTAATGAAAAGAAAGGCATGGCAACAGCCAATAAAGAGCAAAGAGGGCAAGCCTAAAGAAAGAAAAGATGGAAACAGTACTTTAAAATTACAAAACGGCCCGTCTATTAAACATGCATCCATTAGAAGTTGAAATTAAAGGACAGGTAATAGAATAGTAGATGAGATAGATACAAGCCCCATACGGAAAGAAGAAATGATCAAAGCTATTTTAAAAAAAAAATTTAAAAACAGTGGAGTTGATGGAATAACAGCTAAGATGTTTCAAGCTGACTCAGAGGCAACAACAGGATATTTGGAAAAACTTTAAATAACATTTTGGAAGCAAGAAACTATAGCATTGGTATGGGATAAAGGTCTGATTGTTAAGATTTCAAAGAAACACAATAGATGGATATGTGATATGATAGAGATAGGTATATAACACTTGTGTAAGTACCAAGCGAAGTATTCTGCAAGATAGTGATACAAAGGATCCTGTGGAGTGCACAAACTGACATCAGAACAGGGAGGGGTACAACAGAGCAACTATTTACACTCGGGACATCCAACAAAGAACACTAAATAAATTTCAATTTAAGTCAAGTCGGCCTCATACTGAGCACGGAGGAAACACACAAAAGTGATTATACCGCACTCTGACATGATAAGGACAGACCCCTTTAGAAAGTAACACTATTATTTTTGATAACAAAACTATAGAAATATAAAACCATTTTTATCTAGTATGTTAAGTTGACATCCAATCTTTAAGAATTATTATCATCATATTGATGCATTAGGTTTGTCTTTACACTGTATATATCATTCATATATTTTTCTTTTTTTTTCATATCTTAGCTTCATTTTTATCTTTTATAAATTATACACTCTCAGTATTTAAGATAATAAATAATTGAGAGAAATAGTAATTTTGTGTTCTTCAAAGAAAATCCCAAAACAACATTTTTTCCATATTCGAAGTCAGACAATTCAAAACGAATTGTTGTCTTTTGATAAACTTATAAGAAGTAAAGCTACAAAGTTAGACAAAATTATTTTTTGTTTAATGAGAGAAATATTCGAAATGTGTTTTCCTCAGAAAAATATGACCAAGGTCATAATTTGTTTTGCTAATTTAAATTTTTAGATGCATAACAAGTTTTGGGGCGTTTAAAACTAACTTCCACCAATAAAATCTCAAATATCAGATATGAGTACTTTTTAGGTCAACATAATGCATAATTATCTTTCTTCCTCATTTTGCATTTTTATATATTCCATCCACTTCATTCACCATATAAATGCCCGTAATGACATCTCACTTAGTAAGTCGATCCCACTTATTTTATAAGGATTAAACATAAATCTTCTCTATTAATTGACGCGTAAACCTGTGACGAAGGAAGTTAAGACGTAAAATGACCATCAAGATTCTGGTTCTACTTGTCTGCGTATTCCGCGTGTTGGGAAGTAGCTGGCTGACGGTTGACCATGATCAGTGTTCCTCCAACTATGATGAATTTAAAACTCTAATCGACAAAAACGGACTCCAACTCATAAGGTAAAATTTTTACCCCGAAATGAAATGAAATATATTTTCACGAATATTGACTGAACTTGAACTTGGAGGATTCTTAGAGATACTTGATCATGAACATTTGCAACTTTGAATTCTAACAAATTTGAAAAGAAGAGATCTAGTATACGTGTTTTTGCCAGGATCCTGGGGGACCGGAATTCGGGATGTCCCCTAAAGTTTGTCCAGAGTTCTATAGTATATACTATATAAAGGAAGGGTTTCTTATTCAAGCCTCAACAATAAAGCACGCTGACAGTTGTATTTCTTTTTTAAAGTCATTTTTGGGATGCCAGCGTATTTTTTAAAAAGTTTATTTTCAATGTTTGAAGAGATGTTTTTTTTCTTTGATTTCAATTAAAAGGAGATTTTTTAAATGTTACAGACCTTGGTTAATTATATCATGAGGAAGTTAGCGAGATGCCAGTTTTCCGAGATCAGATCTATTTCCTGAGGTTTAAAAATAATACAGGGTCAGTCTTAAGTATAGGAATAAGAATCTTGCAAATTCACTAAACGATACACTTAATTTACTTCTGAATTAACGGTTTAATTACCGGTATATCGGTCAATAAATAAAGAAAAAAAAGGAAATACTGAACTTTGGATCAAGGGTCCATCTACAACTGATTGACTGCAGGTTTCCTGCGGGGTAAAACGAATGTTACAAAATACCCTTCGAGCAGATACCTGTACATCAATATATTTTTGCAAGACTCTCAGAGATTTTGATCTTGTTTGTATCTTTTAACAATTTAATTTATTTAATTCAGATTTAATTCAAAAGTCGCTGAATTAAAAAATGAAACAGCGTCTAAAATCAACACCGAGGACGTAGCGATGGTTCAAGCCGAGGCAAAAAGACTGGAGGAAACTCAGAATAAAGCAAATGATTCCCTTCATAGTAAGCGGGAAAGGACAGCTGATCAGAAAGAACGGTTCCGGAAACTGTACCACGAGATGGAGTTGATCACCGGAAATATCAGTAGGTTAGAGAGAGTAATGGCTGCCAGATCTGTAGCACAAAGCCAACGTCAACAAAAAGTTCAAAGTCTTCTGGATCAAATTAGAGCAGTACGCCAAAACAACACAGATCTAGGATTAAATATTTTAAGAGGTAAAAATGGTTGAAAAATGTTAAATCAGAAATAAATATATAACCTTATTAACATCATTTAATCCTCAAAAATCATGGTAAACTCACTCTCTTTCTCTCTCAATTCAGAATTAAATCTCCAAACGTCAGCAGGCTTCACAATTCAAACAAATAGCGAAGTGACTCTACAGGATCGAGATATCCTGATGTTTCCATCCATTCTTCACAGGAGTGAAAAAGGACTCGATGTCTCGAACTCGATTCTAACGGCCACTTACTCCGGTGTTTACCTATTTCACGTCACGGTCTGTTCTCAGGGCGCGGGTCTAATAGCTAGGGCGGTGGTGTGTAAGAACTACAGTCACCGCTGGGTGGGATTTGCTTACGCTGAGGACAGCAATAATTCGGAGTGTGGAAGCAACACGGTGGTGATTGAAGTACAAAAAGGAGACAGATTCTGGGTGCGATCATAAAAAGTCTTATTTCTCCTCTGGAAGTAGCTTTAGTGCTACATTAATTCAGAGAACTGAGTGAAATATTCCAATGTTCCAGAAACTGAACAATATCTCTCTGATTGCTGTGTAATTGCCGAAAAGAAAGCATCAGCATTAACTCTAAATAAATACTATTCTTGTTTCAGTTTAGAAAAATCAATGATTTTGTGATAAGAAGAAGAATAGTGACTTTTTTTAGGGTGAAGAATAAAATGAAAATTTGCTGTGACGAAAAGGATTGGGAAATGACAAAAACGGTTATACATCAGTGTTGTCTTTGGGGTTTATTGATCACATTGTGTACGGCGTCCGTCTGTCTGTAAACTTTTACCTTTTGACTTCTTCTCCAGAACCATTGGGGCCCAAATTTTAACCAAACTTGCTACAAAGTGTCTTTGAAAGAAGAGGATTCAAGTTTTTTAAAATGAAAGGCCACACCCTATTCCAAGGGGAGATAATTAAATATCTGCGAAAAATTAATGGCATCTTTTAAAAATCTTCTTCGCAAGAACCACTGGGCCAGGAAAGATGAAATCCTAAGGTAGTGTAGATTAAAATATGTAGGTAGTGTAGATTCAAGCTTTTAAATAGTGCCCCGGGGTTTCGGCGGGGTCACAATTGACGATCAAAGTTTTACATAAGAACATCCCCTCAAGTAGTTTAAAATTTAAACCCCCCCCCCCCCCCACCCCCCCCCCCAATGTAAACATCTCTATACTGAAGTGAATTCTGCTTTTCTCGTCCTAGCCAATGTGCTCAGGTGAGCGATGGGGCCCCTGGGCGTTTTGTTTTATTCTTTTACTTTCACCATCCAGTTTGACTTGCTTTTGAGAAACTTATACTTTTGCCATAAACTGCCATGTGGGTATCAGTAGTACATCGTGATTTTTGTTATTTGTGTAGCTTTGTTCTGAAAATATACAATAGACGTTAAGCTATTTCATTATGAAAAGGAGAGTAGTCAATCGTGTACATTGTGTATTTGAGTACTTGTATTGACTCTTTTAACCAAAGACTCTGATAACAGATAATATTGAAGCTCTCGTTCTGCTGGTAGGACATTTAAGGTATTTCCATCCTCCTGTGATATCATAGATTTTCGGCAAAATCTGTTAATAATCTGTTAAATTCATACCCAAAAGAAATATGTCTTTTGGACGAGAGTCTTTCAATAAGTGTAATATCAAATATTTGTACATAATTTTTACCACACTGTTTACTAGAATTGAATGCTGGCATATGCTTCTGTTTACTTATAAATGGCAACATATACATTTTTAGTAATGATTAGTTAATTTACACGTACTATATTCCATGAAAATAAATGCTGTTTTTTTCTACTTTGAACCAATAATATATTGTCAATATGGAAATACCATAATCATTAAATCTTGAAAATATTTTGAACATAAACATAATATTTTGTTTATTATTTCTGTCTGTGAAACGTAAATAATAATTTACAGCTGATGAGTCTGTGTATGAGTGAGTTGATTTAGTCCTAACGTTTATAATATTCTACACTCATTTGTTATAGAGGCTTGAAATTATGATATCATGAGATGTTTCTTTTTTATGTATGACTGGTTTCTGTAATTCCTCATCTTTCAAGCACGGGTCCCTTGCTGACCTGTAGGAGAGACACAAGATGAAACACACCCTTTAAATCCGGCTTAATGGTGGCTTATAGGTCCTTAATGGTGGTTTAATGGTTGTCTTTAAGTCACCATTAAGTCACCATTAAGCACCTTTAAGTAACATTTACACCACCATTAAGTTACCATTAAGCCAACTCTAAGTCCTTAATGGGTGCTTAAATGTAGCTTAATGGTAGCTTAATGGTGGCTTACAGGTCCTTAATGGTAACTTTTAGACCACCATTAAGTCACCATTAAGCTACCATTAAGCTAGACTTACAGGTGCTTAATGTCCAAACTCCATTAAGCTACCATTAAGCTACCATTAAGCCACCATTAAGCCACCATTAAGTCACATTACGCAATCGATAATATTGTTTATATGGGTGAAAAATTATTTTTATAGTGATTTGTTATCAATATTATAAATGTAGAGTTCGCTTATATCTTGATTTGGTAAAAATTATGAAAAAGAACGAAATTCAAAATCAAAAAAAAAAACGCCGCAGTCGGGGCGCGATCCCATGACCGTAAGGTTGCGATGCGAACGCCTTATCCATTAGGCTATCGCCGCTCTTAATACTAAATGAAAATATTAAATATTTGACCTTTATTTTTTTCGAAATTTGTTTGGACTTGTAAAGGTATTTACTAGTATTTTGTTGAACATTTCCAAAAGTCTTGAATTGATTTATTAATCAAAATATAAACAATTTTATTTGTGGATCTTAACACATTAATATATATTTCTACACTGAGTTCGGCTTTTAAATTGATGTAATGTGATTGAGTTCTTCGCTCTGTTATTCGAAAATTTTCGAAATGTAAGCATTAAATCATGATTGAAAATAAATTAATTATAGATAAAACACAAAAGTCTATCATCGAAAAAGAAAGAGGAAAAAACAGATTCTACTATTATTTTTAATATACTGCGGATATTAACGGTTTCTGTGTCAACAATTTAGTGACAATCCTCGCGGAAGAGTTACCTGGTTAATTACGTTTACAAAAACTTTTTTTTAGAATATCATATTCAGTTTCAATTCTTTTTGTATCATAATGGGTATCAAAATAATTGACTTTTTACAATGAATCAAAATTTTTAATTTGTTATATGCTTGCGTTAAATTTAAATTTTTTTTTAAAAATAATTGATCATTAAAATCTGTCAGTGTACGTTGTGTATGTATAGTTTCCTGTTAGTTAACCGGGGACGGGGGACACCTAATTAAGGTCTATTGTCTGACCAGTCGGTTTACTGTACACTGATCATGCTGATCATCTGTTAATCTTACCCCGTTTCTCAATGTGTATACATCTGGTCGGATGTCATGTTTAGTCTGATCGGCCGTTCCTCTGAAAATCGATTTTGAAATAACAATCATTCAAGACCGACTATAGATTTTGACAGATACTTACCGCTGCATTATTAAAAAAAATAATAACGAATTAATTCGAATTATTCATGATGTAAAAGCCATTAAAAAGTTTTTCATGGTAAAAGTCAATCTTTGAAAACTAAACATTTGTATACCGTCAAGCCCCCCCCCCAAAAAAAAAAGCACAGAGATTTTTTTTCATGAGATTATATAGTTATATTCCTGTGAATTCTGTAGCGAATGTTTCTTTTAACACATGAAATAAAAATACCATTTTGTTTTTAAAAAGTAATATATATTTTGTGTTCATGAATATAGATAATTTTAAGAACAAATTGATTTTTGGTATTGTAAATTTAAGATATTTCACGAAGGACTTGCTCACGGTGTGTAATAATTATTTATTTTTAAAAATCATATACACTAAAAATAAAAACAACGCATGTAATAATGATTTATTTTAAAAAAATAATATACGGTTCTGATACATTATGTCTTGTTTTATTATCACTTTAAATGATTTTAAGAAAAAATTAGACACCTCGAGCAAGCCCTTGTGGCTATTAGCTAACTTTGTTCCCAGTGATCAAGTTTATGCATGTTGACAAAAAACTCGTAGAAATTCTGATCGAGACAGAATTATGAGTTGGAATAGATTTTGCGTAAATGATATTAAAATAACTAAAAGTTAGTTCAAAGATTCTAATAAGATGCGTAAAAGTTTAATGAGGGTTGACCATTAAGTCACCATTAAGCTCAGCTTAATGGTGGCTTAATGGTAGCTTAATGAAGTTTGGACATTAAGCACCTGTAAGTTGCAGCTTAATGGTGGCTTAATGGTGGCTTAAAGGAATTAACTTCTTTAAGCCACCATTAAGTCACCATTAAGCTACCATTAAGCGATTGCTTAAAGGTGGTCTTTCGTCTTGTGAGAGGGGGAATAGATTACAAGATAAACACATGGAGCGTTAGAATTGCCTATGTACATTGTATAAAAATGAAGATATCAAGTGATTTTAATAAGGGTTGCATAAATCTAATGAAATCCCTAAAAATAATTAATTTACCGTGAAAAGTACAATAACTACTAAACAACAAGGCGACGATAATGATCGAGTTATATATACATGTAGTTTTTTTTTTTTCATATTTAGAAGAAAAAATCTTTTTATATCTCTGTAATCGATAATATGTGGACTTATAGGTTCTGTCCGACTGTCTGTCTATTAAAAATAACTTGTTCTCTACAGAAGTGTGTAGTTTTCTTTCAACAAACTGCTGGAATTCAGATGGCTATTAATTGTGCTCCTTTATTAAGCGAACTGTTTATTATTTCTATAATGCAAAATGTTTTCAAATATATGAGAAGAAAACTTTGCTGTGACCTACCACTCGATATTTAGATACTAGCAAATCGACGATGTACATGTATTTATTAATTAACAAAAATTACTTCCATTCATATGGCATCTGATATATCCACCTGAAGTTGAAGTAAAAGATATTACAGAATCTGTCACATTTGTTTCATGTTTGGGTGTTTACTGACTTAAGATGATGAGGCTGACTACACTGTAACAACCAAACTGTGACAAACGATGTATCCATCGTCAGCGTCTCTTTGATGTAATCATAT